GGCAAAGGAGGGGGTGGGGGGATACTAGCACCCCCAGGCAAAGGAGGGGGTGGGGGGATGCTAGCACCCCCAGGCAAAGGAGGGGGTGGGGGGATGCTAGCACCCCCAGGCAAAGGAGGGGGTGGGGGGATGCTAGCACTCTCAGGCAAAGGGGGAGGTGGGGGGATGGCAGCACCCCCGGGCAAAGGGGCAGGTTGGGGGATGCCAGCACCTTCAGGCAAAAGACAGACTAGGGGGATGTCAGCACCCCCAGGCAAAGGAGGGGGTGCGGGGATACAAACATCCCCAGGCAAAGGAGAGGATGAGGAGATGCAAACCTTCCCAGATAAGACAAGGGGAGGTGGGGGAGGTGGGGGAGAAGGAATGGTATCACCCCCAGGAAGAGGAGGTGGGGGTGGTATGCTAACCTCTCCTGGTAAAGGAGGGGCTGGGGGTGGAATAGCAGTGCCAGAGTCACCAGGCAAAGGAGGGGCAGGGGAAACAGTAGCACTGCCGGAAGGGGCTACAGCAGTAACTGCGGTGGAAAGAGAAGCCATTTCTTTCTTGGCATCTTCCAGTTCCTTGGACAGCTTGGCAACCTAGAGAAACAACATCAATGGGAATACTTTTCACTCCACTTCAGGGAGTACTGTGCCTAGAAGGGACCTAAGACATTACTTAATCCAAACTTCTCGTTTTACACATGAAGGGACTGAAAGGAGTCAGATAAAATGATTTGTCTAAAGTCACATAGCTGTTTAGTGGCAGAGACAAAACTAGAATTCAGGTCTTCATGTTCTTAGTTCAGTATGCTTTGCATTAAAAAGGCAATTTCAGGGGCTGGCCCCGTGGCGCAGGAGTAAAGTGCGCAAGCTCTGCTTCGGCTTCCCAGTTCACAGGTTTGGATCCCAGGAGCTCACCGATGCACCGCTTGTCAAGCCATGCTGTGGCAGCATCCCATATAAAGCAGAGGAAGACAGGCACAGATGCTAGCCCAGGGCCAATCTTCCTCAGCACAAAGAGGAGGATTGGCATCAGATGTTAGCTCAGGGCTAATCTTCCACACAATAAAATAAAATAAATAAAAAGGCAATGAATTTCAACCTTTATATTAAACTCTCACTTTGATTAGAAAATGCAATGGTCAAGTAAAACAAATATTCTAGTTATATAATTAATATATGTGCTATATAGGTAACTATATAACCACATAAGTGATCAAGTTATCAGATATCACAGATCATTTAAATATTTACAATTGCAGAGAGAGTGTGTGGGGATAAATCTGTCCAGAGATGACTAAAATAAGAGAAAAACAGCAAATATGAGAATGGTTTATTCAGCTTTTGCTCCTAAATTTATTAGAAGAGTATTATCTTCATTTCTGGGTAGTACTGTGACTCATTTTATTCTTTATGTTGTTCTATATTTTCCAGATTTTCTATCTTATATACTACTTACCCCCAAAATAAAACAAAAAACAGGAAATGATTTAAAAAATATGTACTATCTATCTAACTAGATTACCTACTATTAGCTGAACTCTTCCTACGAGTAAGATGACTGACTCCTGCTCCAAGACAGGCTCATCCTGAGGCTGCTGACAGCAGTTACAGGCCACTCTGCCTTCCCTGCTCAGAAGTTACCTCTCCTGTGAGCTGAGACACCTCTGCTTCAAGGTCCTGTTTCTTTGTGGCAATTTGTTGCTTTTCAGAATCCAATGCATCCTTTTCACCCTGAAGATCCTGAAGCTTCTGCTCGAAGTCACTTTCCATCTTTTTCATTTCCACCTGTAGCTCGTGTCGGGCTGTTAACTCTGAGTCCAGCTAAAGGAGAAAGGAATCAGGCTCCCAGAAGCTCTCCATCTCAGCAAGAAGCACCCATAATTTACTGTTTTGTGCCAATCCTTGATCTATGGAGCTCAATGACCCAGGGAATGCCTGGGAAAAAGAGCACCTTAAATTTTTGACCTTAAAATCAAGGTTAAAGGAGGGGGAAACCAGGGATCATTTCCACTGTCTACCCATTTTTGGAATTATAATTTTTAAAAAGCCTAAGATTTTAAAGACATTTAACCAGGACAGCTATCATGCACAATCCCAGTAGTCTCTAGTATCAAAAACCTATCACCCACAATAGGCGATCTTACCAACCAAAGAAAAAAAGAGAATTCAGACATATTCCAGTTCCTGTTGTTCTAGGAATAAGAGGCCTGAGATACCAAGCAAACCTGAGTGCTGTCCCTATTATATAAGAGTGTCCTCTGTCTTTCCTATCCTGCCCAGAGGCCCAAGAACTGTGCAAACTCACCACTAACTAGCCCCTCATGATTACATCCACACCACTTTCTCCACTGAGTAACCTATACCAGAAGGATCTCCCCTAGGAACTGCTACTGCATGCTGAATGCTTTCAAAATATCACTGGTAATTGTTTCACATGTCAGAAAAATCATAATCCTTAGACAAAGAGAGATATACCCCAATTTTTTTTGGTCTCTCATACACACCTTCTTTTCCAGCTCTGTGGCTTTGGCTTCAGATATCTCCACCTTTGTTTTATCAATCATTTGATCTGAAAAGGAGAAGAGTCAGGAAGTAAAGCCCCCAATTTTCTTGACTTCCCCTTTCATGAGCTAAGTCCTTCAATATAACCAAAGGGCAGTCTTTGGTCCTTTTGTTTATTTTTATTATCCTTCTTAATGTTCTGCATTAGACAAAGAAGTGGAACTTGCAGTTAAATTCAACACATAACTTCTGAATGCCTGTTATGCAGTAAGGCCACCATGCTGCCTGGCGTGGAGAAGGCTGACAAGTAACTTAGGAATCTCTGAGACCAGCAGGAATCATAGATAATAGTTGAAGTCTCTTTAAAAGGTGGGGTGGTGTATGAGAAGGGATACACTTTCAGAACTGTGTAGAAATAAATTAAAGGCTTCTCTACTCCTAGCAAAAATATTGGTTATCACCTAAAAAGGGCAAAAATGGAAATACTTGGGGACTAGAAAGATATCTTCTCTGAAATTTTCACTGAAAGAAAGATGCAAATTAAAGGTAGAAGTGATGTTTTAAGGAACCAGATAGAAGAATATGCTTACCAATCAATCCCTCAATATCAATCTGGAGGTGCCGGCACTTGAAGTCCGGATCAGCCCCATTCTTATGCAGAACTATCTGAGAAATACATTCTTCGATCAACTTATAATACTGCGGTCTATGGAAGAAACAAAACAAGGTTATTAAGGGAAAACCAAAATATAATTTTCACAAGTATTCAGGATCAAGAAAAGTTAACTGCTTTGACAATAGAGGGACGTAAGGATAAACATTCTGGAAAAGACCTTTTAATAAAATTAACAGAAGAATCACTGCCATGCCAAGAAATCCCCCTCTTCCACATCAGCTACCCTATCTACTTCAGATAATCGAAACTTCTTGCCACCTGCCTCCTTGTGCCACTGCTTTCCCATCTAAGAACTGGAGCTTGATCTTTCCTATGAGGGATAGTACTATTGCTGAATCTCTACTTCCAAGCAATCTGAAAGAACTAAAAATTGCTACTTCCCTTTACAGACAATCTTTGAATTTAAGGATTTTGCTCTCTCCACTTATGCTCAAATTCAAAACTTCCCACAAGTATACCATCTTACCTGGCCTCATAGTCATTACGGACCAAGAGTAGGTGCTGCAGAATGGACAGGAAGTGTGGTTCTGCCTTTGAATCCTTCACTGTGTTTAAGAGAATCTGGAAGACTTCACTGAAGTCAGTGGAAAAGAGGCTAAGGAAAGTATATATTTAAAACCTGTGTTTGACAGGTGGCTTGTCCAACTATCAGGAAAAGTAGCAAGATGCCACTTCTATTCTAACAGCTGTTCCTCCTGTAAACATTGCCCAAAACTTTAAGCTCTATAAACTTCTTTTGGCCAAGGGACCAGTGAGTTGGGTGGTAGTATACACAGAGACAGAGGATTCCTTGCACCTGGCTTGAAAATAAAGCAGTAGTCAGAAACGAAAAGATAACTGCCTCAAAGTCATTTGTGGCAAATATCAATAGGCAACCAAATTACTCCCTCTGTCAGTCTCAGGGACACACAGAGGAAAACCAATTACAACCCCACTCCCCGACTTGTATGTGTTCTCCAAAACTGAGCTCTACATCATAGTAAGCTAAGCTATCATGTTCTAGGAGGCCTATACTAATTTTGATGGCTGCTTCCAAGCTGAGCAACCCTCAGATCACCTTTCCTAACTTCCCTGGTCCATGCTGAGGTAAATAAATCCAACAGTAATCAAAAGACACCTGCCTTTTCTACCAAGAAGACACACAGGCTGATGCCTTGTTCTGAGTCACCACCCCCACGCAATTCCATACAGGGATCTACAACTGAATGTCTCATCTGTCTTGAACCCAGTCAGTAAAAGGATATTCCATCTCCATTCGAATGTCATCCAGCCGTCCCTTCAGGTCATAGGAATCTTCTTCCCCTTGTTCATCAAACACAGCTAGTTGTACTCTCATATCATCATTTTCAATCTCTCGAAGGTCCTGTCAATGGCAAAAGTATAGCTCAGGAAACCCAGAAGTGTCCTAAGCTGGCTAGAAGAAACCCAAACCTTTCAACCTGGTTTTTAAATTGAAAGCCAAAGTTATCCCAGGGATGACTGGGCTATAAGAGTAAGAAGAAATCAACCCAGCCTCTCTAATGAAGTGTTGCATCTCACCTGTAACACTTGATGCAGCCCCAAGCGCATCAGTTCACTTCGGATGTGAACTCGGAAGTCAAGTTCTTCAGCTGGTGTGATGAGAGCATTGATGAGCTGTAGGCATCCCACCTAAAATAAAAAACATCAGCAGCTTTGTCAGTGTTAACTCCTGGAGATAAAGATTCCATTCTCTTGACATGCATTCTGAGGCCTCCAAATATAACCTAGAAGATGCAGTATAGAAACTACAAGAATGACTTTCTGTTACAGCAATATGACCTGGTTTGAGCACAGGTTTGGAGAGCTCAGAGGTCTAAATGATTCCAAGGATTTGATGATATAATTTGTTCTAGGCCTTGGTTTTTCTAGCTTGTAAATAGATACCATGCCTTTTTTCCATCTCATAATGAGGAAAACAGTTCTTTCTCTGCCTTCTTGGAGAGAAGGATAATCATTTTTCCTTCAGAACAAATTCTGAAATATAAAATATATAGTTGGGAACTACTCCAGGTGTTCTATTAAAAGGTCAAATGAACTCAAGTCTTTCCATCTTGAATTCCATTCTTGGGCCCAGTTTCAGGGGATATACATGCCTTGAGTGCAATGGAGGTCCCACTTTTTAATCCATCCAGCAGTGGCTGGAAACGTTCCACTTCATCCATCTCAGCTCTTTCTGTCATCGCCTCCAAAACCCTTTCATTCCTGCCCAAGAAAAAGGAACGTGAGAGAACTGCCCAGGTGCTCTGACACAGACATGAACAACAGGCGGACTATAGAGGGGCACAGATCAGTTAGGAAATAGAACATTATCAATGCTCTGGATTTCTCACATTATTCTTCTCATCACCTAGAGCAGAAGCTAGAACTGCAGAAAGCTAAGGGCCATCTCTTTAGAAAAATGTACTCCCTAAAGACCATCCATAAACTCCTACCCATGGATACTAAATTAAGACCCCTGTTCTATGGAGTATAAATTGGTACAACTTTTGGAGGGGCATTTAAAAGTATCAATTTTTGGGCCGGCCCCGTGGCTTAGCGGTTAGGTGTGCGCGCTCTGCTGCTGGCGGCCCGGGTTCAGATCCCGGGCGCGCACCGACGCACCACTTCTCTGGCCATGCTGAGGCCATGTCCCACATACAGCAACTAGAAGGATGTGCAGCTATGACATACAACTATCTACTGGGGCTTTGGGGGAAAAAATAAATAAATAAAATTATTTTTAAAAAGTATCAATTTTTAATGCACATAACATTTGGCCTACTTGTAGAAATCTATCCAACATAAATGCATAAATATGAAGGAATATATGTACAAGGATATTCTATTATAGTACCATTTGTAATAGTAAAGACTCTTTTTATCATCTAGAGTAGGGACCAGAATCTGCTTAAAAAAAAAAAAAAAGTCTACTTAAAAGTCTAACAAGGGAGGAACTGTTAAATAAATTATGGGACACAAATACTATGGAATGCTAAATAGCCACTAAAGATAATAAGGTAGATCTAGAAGTACTGCCATAGAAGGATGTCCAAGATCTACTGTTAAATAAAAAGAAACAAGTTGAAAAGAATGAATGGTATGATTTAGCTTTTTCTAAATCAAACTCCTCCACAAAAATAAAAATCTATCCAATCATGTGACTGGTTTTATAGGCAAAAGCCATCTTTTCTTTGTTTTAAGATACCATCTTTTGCAGTGGCAGAAGATGTCTTAGAATCTAGGAAATGCAATATATTTGTCTGTGCTAGAAAAATGTCTATGAGACTGTACCAAACCATTAACAGTGGTTACCTCTGCAGAATAGGATCTGCCAAAGGGATGAGGTTGTTAAACTTTACTTTATATACTTCTATATTGTTTGAATTTTAAAAATAATGTTGAGTTATTTCTGAATTAAAAAGAAAAGTAAAAAGAAACCCTTGTCCTAGACAACACAGACATTAATGGAGATCTAGGAGATATCCTGCTATACCTCTGATAATCAGTGCTCCACTCAGAACAGCCCCCATCACTTAAATATTAAGATTCAGTGTTCGGATCTGGGAAGAAATACAGTCTTACCCAGTATTTAAGACCAAGCAGATACCCAAGCAACTCAATTTTCCTCTAGACTAGGGAAGATGGTAAAAAAGAGAATGGAGAGGAGAAATAATTCCAGTCACATACATGTCCTCTGGCTGTGGTAGGATACAGAGAGCAGAAAGCAGCTTAGCTGCATCAATCATCATGTTGGGAACAGCAGGATCCATGGCTCTGACCAGCAGCAGGATTCCTTCTTCTGTCTCCAACATGGTCTTGATTCCAAACTGGAAGGACAAGAACAGAGAAGGGAGGCTTAAAGGTGACTGCATCCAAACAGGGGCAAGTTTAGGAGTCGTTATAAGTTGAATGGTGTTTACCCCGCAAATTCATATGTTGAAGTCCTAACCCCTAGTACCTCAGAATGTGACATTATTTGGAAATAGAGTCATTGGCAGATGTAATTAGTTAAGTTACAATGAGGTTATACTAGAGTAGGATGGGCCCTTAATCCAATATGACTGTTGTCCTTATAAAAAGGGGAACTGTGGACACAGACATGCACACACATGCCATGTGAACACAAAGGCAGAGATTGGGGTAATGCGCCTACAAGCCAAGGAATGTCAAAGACTGCCAGCCACCAGAAGCTAGGAGAGACGCATGGAACATATTCTCCATCACAGCCTTCAGGAGGAACCCACCCTGCCAACAGCTTGATCTTGGACTTATAGCCTCTAGAACTGTGAGACAATAAATTCCTATTGTTTAAGACACCCAGTTTGTAGTACTTTGTAACAGCAGCCCTAGCAAACTAATACAGGGGTAGAACGCTTTTCCCAATATGGCTAAACAGAGATGAGCATAGCAAAATAATTTTCTAGTAGATACAACAGAATTCTATGTCTTCCAAGAATAAAAATCTTTGATTCTTATGTTTCTTTTTAATGCCCCCCCCAAAGGAATAAGTTAATTATAACAAAATCAAAATATAAGGAAGATAGATTTGTACTTGGGAAAAAATAATTGTGGGCTCCCTGGGTTTATATTCTACACACACAAAAAGATGATTTGAAAAGATTCTACAGTAGGAATGGTCTGGGAAAAAAACACACATATAAGCAGAGAATAAAGTAAACCTTCCAAAAACAACAACTTACAGGCCAGGAAATTCAAGAATTAGCAAAAGAAAGTATAAAAAGAGGAAGAAAATCGAGCCTACCTCCGAGACAGACATGAAAACGGGAAAAACGTCCATAGAAGCATGTATATAAGGCAATCAGAAAGTCATGATATTAAAAGGGAAAGCTATAAGTCTTGAACCTCATATTCCTAGGTCCTTTTTGGAGTTTGCCAATAGAGGAGAAAGAATAGGGGTACCGACGGGAACTGGAACGAAAATGGGAAAAATCTCACCTTGTTGTTCATAAAAGCTTTCAAGCAGCGAATGATCTCATGCTTGTTACGGCTATCGTAGCTTCTGCACGTAGAAGACATTATCAGTGAAGTCACTTTATTCTACACCCCTCTCCCATTTGACTTCAATCTTGCAAACAAGGGTCTTAGGAATATCGCAAACTAGTAGTTGAGTAAATTCTAGCACACAGAACTTTGCCCTGAAACACCAGCAAAAACAGGCAGCTGAAGAGGGATCCCCAGCAGCAAATATCTTTGGTTAATCCTCTCTCAATCCAAGAATTTAGCATTACATTAAAATCTTCCCTTAACTCCCTCTAGACTCTTAAGTGCTAAATTCTATCAGGATAACATCCATCTATTACTGCTTCCCTCACTACTTCAAAGGCTTCAAGTCTGAACATTCAAGAGGTATAGGCCCTGTGTTTGTTTTGGAAAGATCCCAGGAAGTAGGGAAGTCACGTTGGGTCAGGCTGGCTTCAGGGTAGCCTAAGACAGTCCAAGGTATCCCTAGTATTATTCCAATCCTAAAGACTGTCATAAAACTAGTCTCAAACTGATCAAGTGTATTATAAGACCTCCAAATGAGCTATGACCCAGACCAGATCACATGGGAACTCTGGACTAAACCAGACCCTATTTCCAGACTGGATAAAAACCTGTGCTGGGAGACTCATAGTCTTATGTGGTATATATCCTGTGTTATTCACTGTGAAATTTAAGTTCCTCTTCCTTTTCCTGTATCTATAATCATCATTCATCCTCTAGTCACCCCTACAATAAACCCCATTCTCAGCTAACAGCATATTCTCCAAGTCTATATCTTTACACTTAACTGCTATTTTCTCCTTTAGAGCAAAGAGCCAAGTCCCCTACTACCCTCCACCTAGAAGATGTCAAAACTTGGAAGTCCTCACCCAGCAGTCTCTTCTTTCTCATCATGAAGTCGTTTAAGGATATCCAACAAGGAGGCCAGGCCCTCAGCACCAAATGTTTGCACCCAACTATAAGGAACAGATAAAGACAATGCAATATCAAATCAAACCGATAAATACTTATTCACCAAAACAAAGATTAACCTGGCAACTCTTTACTCCCAATCCAGAACATTCTCATACTTCCCTGACTCCTTTGATATTCAATCCCCACCAGTGAACTTTAACCTTGGGCTCCACTCCTGTTACCTCCTCAGAATCCTCACCTGACAGGGTTGTTGTTGAGAGAGACACGAAGGGACTCCAGGCAGCTGAGTAGAGGCATATCCCGCAAGCCTGACCTCAACTCCTGAATGTACATCATGGCGGATCTGGAGCTCTCCTTTTGGCTCATGCCCTAGACAAGAGCACATAGAGAGATTAGTACACACTGGATGCAGTCATAAATTGGACTAGTACTAGTCAATACAGTTTACAGAATATCAGAGTAGACACCCATCATACACACCACCAAACTATGTGAGACTCAGAATTTCCCATCCCATTCCACATAACATACGTCATGAAGATTGAATCAGGCAAAAAGTATGTAAGAATGGTAACTCAAATGAGAGTAAACAATAAGTAGGCTTATATTACAGAACAAAACAGAACTGATATAGACATAAAACGTTCTATAAAAGTGGCAAAACAAACAGGTCCAAGATAAGGGCACAGTCTCCCATGTCATGGGTACCTGCCCCAGGACTCACAGCCTTGGAGGTGTGCAAGTATTGGGACACCATCTCTCTCTTGATGATGATGTCCTTCTCCCTCAAAGGTTGCTGTTTCTCCTCATTCAGGTTCATATCCAGCTAGTAGAGGGAGAAAAAAAGGAAAAAAACAAAATTGCCTTGAATTCCTTACAAGTTTTCAATGTTTAAAATTTAGCATACTTAATGAAGAGTTGATCTCACATTAAATTCTTATTGAATATATAAATTTTCCTGATCTCTAGGGATTTAAGCTATTACAGATGATGAAAGTTCCTCGGGGATAAATGTGGTTAACATTTTAGTAGAAATCCCTACAGACATTTTTATACACATACACTTACATTTTTCCTAACAAAAATGGACTCAATATAGAAGAAAAATTTATTCTGCATTATTGAAAAAAAAGGACGCATAATATTTTCTGCACTTAGGATGGACCTTAATAATCTCTTCAGACTGAAGCACTGGAACACTGGCATCATCCGAACACCAGCAAAACCACACTAGGGCCTAAACATCCGTTACCCCTGGTTAACTCAGTCCCTGTACAAACTCCTTTCCCACAAAGAAAGAACTGGAAACTCTGTGATAAAGCCCGTCAACAGACATAACCTGGAGTGTGGTATTGGGGGAACAGCTCTGCTTGAGCCTATGACATGTAGAACCACGTGTCTGAGCCCAGTACCTCAGTGAGCACAAGTTTAACTCTAACAAGTCCAGAATATTATTTGAAATGGGGAAAATAATAGGTGGGGTAAAAAGTGGATATATCCTATTTCTTCTCAGGGGTGTGTGTGTGTGAAGGAATTGTTGCCATCGTTGCCTCCAAACAGGAATATTAATTTGACATTTTCTGATTCAATTCCTGATGCTTTTTTCCTCTTTTTACAGATAAATTGAATGCAGAAGTTGCACAGTGGTGGCCTTCAGGTCAAATCAGACCCAAAGATAAAGTATGTTTTTCTTGGCTAGCTCAACATTTTAAATTTGGGAAACTTCACATTTAAATATGGATTTTTAGCATCAAGGGATGCAATCATCAAATTTCAGATTATGAGAAACTTTACAGGTCAAACAGTTTCTTCAACAAATTTTTAACAGCAATAGCAAGGACAAATAGAGGGAGGAAAACCTACAGATTAAATGAAACTTGAGAATATTAGCACAATGGATCTTATTTGGAATTGTGACTTAAACAAACTGTTTTTTAAAAAATGACCTAATGGGGGAAATTTGAATGCTGGCTATTATTTTTGATGCTATTAAAGAATTACTGTTTTTAAAAAATTACAGATTTCTGGCTTCTTTTGAAAGATAGAAATATCTGGCACTACTGGGCTAGCAACCCCAAATGGAATGCTACAACACCTGTCGGAACTGATCTGTGGCAGGCCTTTCTAACCATACCAAAATGCTTTATTTTCCCACAGTCCCTTCTCCTTTTTATCATCTTCTATCTAGCCTGGTTAACTTATTTATGCTACCTCTCTGGCCCTAAAGACACTTAAATTTGCAATCCAAGGCCAAGAGATTGTCTTGATAGATCATACTCTTAGACTCTTAATGCACTTGGATTATTAAGAGACAAACTGAAAGCTTCAGTGAAAAATAATACTAGTAGTACTGGTTGAGTGTTTACTATACACCAGGCCCTGTGTTAAGGATTTTAATCCCATGCTTTTAATTAAGTTAGGCCTGCCATCAGTCTCTATTTGAATCTGAGATCACATATCCAGGCAATATACAGGTCTTATGAAACCTTATAAGCATGTACTCAAAACTTTCCAAGACTTACCACTAGTGGACATTCACTGAGTGTCTTCCTCACTCAGTGTCCCTCAATAAGGACAGCAAAGTTAAGTCACATCCATGTATATTTCATTACTCAACTGACATCAGCTACAATCTTGAAAGGTCTTCTAGTGATTATAGCATCAGAATTCTCTTTCCAGATTCACCACTAAATAGAAGACCTCGAGCAAATGATGCCTTTCCATTCCTCAGTTTCTTCTTTGTATAGCATTCATTGTGAATGCTTCAAAATTTTATCTACTCTGGCTAACCCAAAGGTAGTCTCCACACTACCATATGAGTTGGTCCACTCATCCTACGTCTTTGTGGCTAACGTGTTGCTGGGCAGAAGGACGTTAACAAGGCAGTCAGTGATCAGATATTTCCAAGCCTAACTCAGAGATTCCAATCTTATGGACTGGTGTTTGTATATTTAGTCCCTTCATTAACGGGACTGCTATTAAGAAGTTCCTTGTTAAGCCTAGAATTCTGGGTAATTAAGGGCTACTTAAGGGGGACCGAGCACAAAAAAGGGTCCACCACGCCCATAAATGCATTTTCAGGAAGAAGCAACATTTTCGGGTGGGACCTTACCAGCATCTGTTCAAAGAGTACTAGAACTTGCTCATCTGAAACATCTTGCAATGACTGTGCTGTGGGATCATCCCCATACGATGCAGAAGAATTTCTATGAGCAGAATTGGGCTTTTCCTTCTCCTTCTTAATTCTCATGCTGGTAAATCTCTCCAGCTGAGAAAGAAAAAGAAGTATTAGCAGTAATCCATTTTCACTTACACAACAAACCACACGTCAAATAGCCAACCCTCTAACCTCTTACGCATGCATGGTTCCTCTGGTTTGTGGGCAGTTCAAGACTCTCCTTACATGAAAAGAAGAAATCCGTCTTCCTCATATCTAATTTAGCATACTGACCCTGTACTCTCATCTTCATCCGTAGATAAGAGGACCGAAGTATTAAGATTTGGAACCTCTCTAAAAAGAGAAAACTTTCTCCTTGAGCTCCCTTGCCATTTCTAAGCCCTCTAGCAGCACAGAACTGAAAACATCTCATCTACAGAGCTGTCTTCATAAAATGCCCTGTTTCCCTCCAGCTTTCCAATAATAAATGTGGCCAGGCCCTCAGAGGATCCCCCCCTTCGAGAGGTGAGTATGACCATAGATTTTAATAGATATAAGTCATACAGAATAAACAAGTAAACGCCTTAAAACCAGGAACCATTCCTTTTTCTTTCTTCTGTACACTCCATAGCACTTGTGTTATGTAGGCAGCAAAAGTTCAATACATATTCTTCAAAATCCCCTTTGCAAAGAATACAATGTACTTCAAGGGAATATATGCCATCTCTCCGCCAACCAAATGCTTATGAACCATTCCTCAAACCTCAAGTACAGATGCTCAAATCACAAAGAGCCACCGATAAGCTGCAGCTCATCAGCTCCATCTGTTTGAAAATAACAGAAAACATCTGCAAGCTTCAAGTGACATGAGTGGCAACCAGCCTGCAAGTCAGCTTGGAGTTTAGAGAAAGTGCCTAACCTTGGAAACCAATGAACATGCCAGAGAAATGCATGCAATGGGACAAACACAGAGCAAAGAGTTAGGAAAAAGCTTTGGGGTGCTCTAAGAATAGAACCTGTCACCATTACAAGCTATAGAAAGTCAAAGTTATGGCAACTTGTAAATGTCATAGGAAATGAGCTAGAACATGCACATGCTGAACAAAAATTTCCTTACCTCATCTGCCATGAGCCGCTTCAGAGTCTAGGAAACAGGAAAAAAGGAGGGAGAAGAAAGAGAAGAGAGATCAGTGAAATGCTGGGAAACCTCCCAAACAACAGAAGGGTTGGAGGGAAAGAGAAGAGAAAATAAGTTGAAAGGATCTAAGCTACTTCCCACCGGCTAAGATTTCTGCCAAACTATTCCTTAGCACATTCCCTTAGGTAAGGGGCAGGAAGAGTCTTAAGGTCACTAACAAATGAATGGAAAAAAAGATGGAGAACTGAAAAGACTCTATATGTGATGACCAGTAAACCTATGAAACATGCTCAACTTCATTAGTAAACAAGGAAATGCAAACTAAAACCACAGTAAGATATTTCGCACTCTCAAAATTGGCAAAAATTTTCACGTCTCTCTAGTCATAGAGCAGCAAGAGCTCTCACACACCGTGGGTGGTGATGTAAATTGCTATGGCCACTTTGGAAAACAGTACGGTATTATCTAGTAAAGTTAAACACACACATACACTACAACTCAACCCATCTATTTCCATATATCTACCCCACAGAAACTTGCACATATGTAGCAGGATGTGTATAACAAGAATGTTCACAGCAACACTATAAAACAGAGAACAATCCAAATAGCCATCAAGGGCCGGCCCCGTGGCTTAGCGGTTAAGTGCGCGCGCTCCGCTGCTGGCGGCCTGGGTTTGGATCCCGGGCGCCCACTGACACACTGCTTCTTCGGCCATGCTGAGGCCGCGTCCCACATACAGCAACTAGAAGGATGTGCAACTATGACATACAACTATCTACTGGGGCTTTGGGGGGAAAAAAAGGAGGAGGATTGGCAATAGATGTTAGCTCAGAGCCAGTCTTCCTCAGCAAAAAGAGGAGGATTAGCACGGATGTTAGCTCAGGGCTGATCTCCTCACAAAAAAAAACAAAAACAAATAGCCATCAAGAGTAGAATGGGTAAACTGGTATATTGCTACAGTGGAAAACTATCACACAAAGAGAGTAAATGAACTTACAGCTACTCATAAACATGAAACTGAACGTGTTATTTCATTTACATTGAGTTTAAAAGCATGCAAAACTAAATTCTATTATTTAGGATATAAAATAATAAAGGGAATGATTACCACAAATGTCAAAACAGTGGTTACTTGGGGAGGTGGAAGAGTTGTGACTGCAGAACGGGACAAGGGGGCTTCTGGGGAGCTTACAAGATTCTATTTCTCAACATGGATGGTGGTTGCATGGATGTTCGGTTTATAATTATTCTGTACGTTTTATGTTCTCTTCTGTATATATGCTATACTTTACCAAAAAAACAAAAAAAAGCCTGAACAAGCAGGTGTGAGAAAGCAGGATTCTTCTTTGTCCTAATGCTTAATTTTAACCTGTATTTCTTTTTGCTAACGTCCTTAGAAGACTATAGTAAATGCATCTTGACTAACCTTCCTCAACTAATGAAAAACTAGTTTTGACCCTGCCACAAAGCCATTTTACTAACTTTTTTATGGACAAGAAAAATCTGTATCATTATGTTCATGTTCCCCATGTCAGAGTTTAGTTAAATCCAGTGTAAACTGTGAATCTTAGCTTTGCCCTCCACGGTCCAGAGGAGGTCAAGCTTCTGCTGACTGAGTGCTAATCACTCATCAGAAACCATAAGAACCTTGCTCAGCGTCAATGGAATTTAAAATTACTTTGCATGTGCTACTTACTGGGGAGTGAAGGCAGAAGGACGGTGAGGCAGAGAGAGCAATACCTAAGGAGACCAACAGTTCCTTTTGTCACCACCCTAAGTCACCTGGCACATACAGGTGAAACAAGCCATAAAAAGGATGTGTGTATAGTTTAGGTTGCCATTACCACTTACGTTAAACTCATTTGCTCCTAGAGCAACTGCTTCCAGAACCTTGTCCTCCAAACTCAAATGTTCCCTCAGAACCAAGCAGCAACCCAAACAATTCCAGGATGGATGTAACGTTAGAGAACCCGCGTCTAATGAATCAGTGCCAGCTGGATTGTTAACAGACGCAGGTTAAGTTAAAGAAAGGAGAAACCAGCAACCCGTTCTTTCTGCCTACAGACTCAATTTATGTCTCTCCATGGCACTACCACTACCCAAGTTCATGCCATTATTATCTCCTGCTTGATTTATTGCAATAGCCTCATAACTGATCTTTCTGCCTGCAGTCCTGTCTGCCCCACACCAAATCCATTCTCCATACTACATCCAAGAGTAATCTTTCTAAAATGCCAAGCTATCCACGTTATTTTCCCATGTAAAATCCTTCAAGAGCTCCCCAGTGCCCTCAGGTTAAAATCCAAATTCCTTAGCATGACATATGACACTCCTGGCTTCTTTCCCTAGACTCATCTCTCAACCAACTCTCCACCTCAAACCCTGTCTTCTGAGCATCTTGAACTAGCTGCAGGTCCACAAACAGATCATGCTGTCTCTACCCCAGACATTCCCTAGGCTGCTGCTGCCCTCAGTCTAGATTGTGCTTTCAAGGCTAACTCCAAGAGGACCTGCAGGATGATATCTGTGTTTCCACAGGAATAACTACTTACCTGTCTCATAGCACTAGCAGTGAATTACAATTATCTTTTGATTGTCTGCCTCCTCTACCCCTTTCCAGACTAAGTTCCTTCAGGGCAGAGCCTGAGACTTAGTCATTATGTCTCCTATGAACAAACACCATAATCTGGGGCTGCTTTCCAAAAATACCAATCCCTGGAGAAGCCCTCAAATCTATCCCACCTCCTCATTGTATCAATGAAGAAACTGAAGCTCAGACAGGTGGAGTAAATCTTCGAGGTCACATGATTAGGAGCAAGCAGGGTATGGAATTCAGGTCTCCAGATTCCAAAGCCCAAACTCTTTGCATTCCCCAAATTCTTCTGCATTGTTCCCATTTAATGCCCACTAACTCTTGTCTTTAGATACAAAAGTAAACATATCTTTTCATAAGAAGGAAGATACCAGTTTCCCTTGCTTTCCTTGGTGCATCATTAGAAACAGATTTAATTCTTTGAAAAAATTATCCACGTTTTAGTGCTCAATTTGAGTAAGGACAGCGCAAGGGATCCAAGCAAGATAAAAGCTGCATTTCCTCAACTTGTCCAACAGAGGGCAGCAACTACCAGCAAAGTGAACTACAGTGCAGTATAGGCAAAACAGTTTCAGAACCCAATAGAACACCCACAGCAAGCTCAATTCAATTTTTGAGATGGAACCTGCTGCTACAGTATATTGCAGGTGTATGGTTTACTTATTTAATACTAAGTGTGTTTTCCTTACAGATCCTATGTATACTGTGTTTGCAAACAGTAAGCTTTGTTCAGTTTTTTTAAATTGTATCATTAGTTGTTTTGTGGATTCTCTGAGATATGAAACAAGAGGTTCCTAGATCATGAGAAGTAAAAAGAACCAAAAATAGTGGAGTCCAGGAAGACAAAATGCTACTGGAGCTACATTTATGCTTTATGCCTCAGATGTCCAAGCTTTTTTATAAAGTCTCTAATCATCCTATCTATCTCTAATGCTTCTACTCTCATCGTTCTCCTCATTTGCTGTCAATTCTCTTCTGCCCCCAAACCAAAGCCTTACTGTCCTAGCCCGGCTGCACTAAATACTTCACCTTCCTGTCCCTCCTACTGAGTCTTCCAATAAAACTATCACTAAAACCTTCAACAACAAATATAGATACTGATGGAAGCATAAATACTGAATGAAATTTTTTTAAATATCCAAGTCACCTCATGAAAACAGATTAATAGGAACCTCTAGGTAAAAGACGGTAGACTAAATCAAAGCATCTAATTTCTCCCCTCTAACCCTTATAAATCTACAGAAAAGGAATTTTTAGAAAGAAAAAAATGATGGAAGGAAGGAGACTACAAGGTTGGGAAAAAGAAGAAAAGAGCAATTGCAACCAAATTTTGAAGCTGGGGAATAAATAGAAGGACTGGTGGTAAACCCAACAGACCTAAGAAAGCTGAGTCCTATCAGAAGTAGGAAAAGCCCCAAAACAATCCAAATTATACTTAAGGATCCTCAAAAGGCTCAGAATTAGTGTCACGAGGTACCTATGGAAATAGAGGTTGGATGGATATTGGTTGAAAGCTGTTTAAGAAGCTGTTAGATCTGTAGATCCTTCCACACCACCTCTACCACCGCACCATTGGGAGATGACTCTCCCTTACTCCAGCAGAAGTCTGGAACTTTATTCTTAGACGAGGGTAAAACAGAGGGTCTCTGGACTGGGTGATGCCAGGCATAGTTGTGGGCAGGGACCCTATACCAAAAAGAAAAGTAAACCTATGCATACTATACACTAAGATACTCAGCACTTTCCCCCTTCTAATTTCTCAGAATCCCAGCAGCCTGGCCCTTACCCTTGAGGCAGAGGTTGGAAAAGTCTTCTCTGGGGAATCGAAAAATGCCCTAAAGCTACTGACAGAGCCTAAAGCTAATGATATAGTCCAAGCAGATCACCCTAGAGCTCTGCGTACAATAAGGTAGCCACTCAGTAGAAACTACTGAGCACTTCTAATGTGGCTAGGGCAAATGAAGAAGGAAGTTTTTACTTAATTTTAACAAAATTTAAATTTAAAAACAAACATTTTATTCTTATTGTTAAACTTAAGTATGTTTGGAACACGCTGGGTATGTGAATCTTTTTCATTTGTAAATTATGAAATCTAAATACACATCAAGCATTTTTTAAAAAAATTTATCATCTGAATTGAGATGTGCTATAAATATAAAATATACACTGGAGTTCAATAACTTAATATGAAAAACAGAATGTAAAATATCTTAATAATTTTATATTTATTACATATTGAAATATTTTAGATATTTGATTAAATAAATTATATTATTAAAATTAATTTCACATGTTTCTTTATGCCTTTTTTAATGTGGCTACCAGAAAATCTAAAATTATTTACGTGACTCATATTATAATTTCTATTGGACAGGCTCTCCTACAGTAAAGGGCATACATAGCTAACAAA